ACTTAGATCAGGGGATTGGCACCTTAAAAAGACATCTAGTCTCTATGAACATGGCATAAGGAAAATCAAATTTCTGAAGAACTACAAATGCTTAAATAAATACAGAGCTACTAAGACCTAGCCAGAGGTCAAGGTTGGATACAGCAGGGTTTAGGAGATCAATGACTTTTCTGGAGCTCAAGTTTCTGGTTTGTCTGAGGGAACAACCCCAGGTCTTTGAGAAAGGTGATTGCCTTGGATCCAAATCCCTGGATACTGGAAAGAGTTGAGTAGGTGCTTGTGTCCTTAAAATGAAGCTCTAAGAAATAGCTCTGCTGGAGACCTTTGGGAACCCTTCAGTTCCAGTGAGATTTAGATGGAAAGGAACCATGTCTTGCTCAGCCAGTCCCCTCCTGATTTAGAGGCAAAAGTATTCTAGGATTTGGTGCATAAATGGGATTGATTTTTGCCTAAACTGGGTTGTCTAAAGCAGACATCTGGTCTAAGCCAAATACCTGTCCTCCCTCTCTATTCAGTGGGCAGAGGAATAACAGAATTTGATCCAGTTGAACTTGAATGGCTTTCTTAAAGTAGGTGTGATTAATTGTCTCATGGAAACAGCTATTGCTCTCCAGTTGGTATAGGGAAACAGATTTATAACTTTCAGATGTATAAAGTAGGATGAAAACAGGCCAAGTTTCTTCACTCTCATTGATGCTACTAAGAATTAGAAACCTGTGCACCTGGAAGGTCCTTGACCTCTATTGCTTTTTTTGTGTCTTAATTATCCCTTTCTTTATTTCTGAACATTCATATCTGCTTAAGATTCTGAGGAATTCAATTTCCTAAACAATAATGCCATAAAAGTGCAATAAATTAGAGAGGCGTTCATTTAATCTTGCATATTAATGAAACTTTTGTTCTAATGCTATGAACAATAATGCCCAACCAATTTTAAATTTTTATCTCAATAATTTTATAATGTAACCTAACATTTCCCTGTCAGTGATCTTATTGTTCCCATATCACAAACAAAGTTTGAAGCTATGTTTTTAAGCACAAGAATTGCAGTACAAACTGATTGCCCTAGGAGAAAAAGTCAATAGGGAATATATTTTTGGAAAACAGATAATTACTAGATGATTTTAATATGTAGGAGATATGGGTGGGTGGGAGAAAAACAAGAATAGCTTTGGAGAAAACATTTTCTTTGTGGCAAAGGGTGGTTCACAAAAAAATACAAGTTTTATCAAGGCAGGAATTCACCCTTGGTGGTGTGCTAGTTTTCTGTAATGCTGATAGCAAAAAAAATATAATTTAAAAGAATTAATCAGTTGATAAAATGGAAGTAATTTCAACTTTGCTGATTCCCAGTTTTTCTCGAGCCACCATTCAACCTAGATTTTGTTGGCAGCGATCTTACTCTCAGTGCCATAGAAAACTCATCCACAGAAAGGCTTTAAAATCTTTATTTGTTGGAATGACAAAGTCACTAAATTAGAAGTGTTGCTATTAACTTGGGACCTGATTCTGTCAACATTTATGCAGGTGCCTAATTAATTCATGTAGTTAGGCTGAGAGATGTTAATGGATCACATTTTTCAGTCTAAGCATATGCATAACTGTTTTCAAGGCCACAGCTCATACTAAGAAACCAATGTTTAATTTTTCCCCAGAAGTATTGATTTGCTTCTGAATCTAATATTCATAGCCAATCTCTCTGTGCATAATAAATGAATCATTCTCTATCTGATGCATTTACAAGTTTTAACTCCAGATACAGAATCATGCTTTGCCTGACTTTTACTCGTAGCTCTTTCACTGTTGGCATAAGAATATCCTTCTTTGTATGATGGATAAGAAAACTTGGAGGTTTTGTAGGTGCAGCTGGGTTAGGTATTTCCCCATACATCACTGTCATGGAGCTCAACAACCTTAACTAGAGAATAATACAGTTCTCAACTCAATTTTCAAAAACTTTACTGCATTAAATGACCACATATGCTTAGAGAAGCTATAAGCAATAGTATCTTATTAGTTTAAGATGCTTTTTTCTTGCTTGTCTAATCAAAAGTGAGCAGTGATGTAAAAATGCAATTGGCAAGCAAGCAATTCATAATGTAGTTTAATAGCTATTTTCATTTTGAAACAGCAGATAATGTTCATGGGCAGTAATGTAAATTAAGGATTAAACTATGGCCAGGTCTGCAAAGCTGATGAAAGAAGCTTACATACACAATGGGCAATCAACATGGTAATATATGTGGTCAAGAATGAATACCTTGTGTTTAGGAAAATGAATAAAATGTAACGTTCTACCTTACAGTCATTTAATTTATATTTCATTTGTTTTGCTGCTAAGGACATCACATGTCAGTGTTCTTACCAAAATCAAAATGTCATATCTGCTTTCCCCAACCCACTACTTACCTGCCTTGTCAAGGAAAATAGTGTAAAAGCTTGGTGCAGCCTATTTTGATAAATCTGTTGCCTCTTCAACATCTGCTGATTATGTACAAGATAATTAAACATTAATTGCTCTACATCATGTTTAATTTTCTTTCTGGGTACTGAAATTACATTGAATAGCCTATAAATCTTCCTTTGTTCTCTACGTTTATATAGACCTTTATATAAATGTTTATATACCTTTATCTAAAATAGATATGTGCTTTTTTTCTTTTTCTAAATCCCTGTAATTTTCACTGGGTTTTTTTCTCTTGAGTTCTCAAATATGGTCCAGAAATTGTTTGTGTTATTTTATAAAGAAATACAGGGTAAACTTTTTCATGCTCTGTTTACTTGAAGTTATATGTAATAGATAAATTTTCTTACGGTTATGTAGATGTTCTCCAAACTGTCCATTCCTAATTCAGGTCTGTTGCACCTACTATCGGCTATATCAAATACCTGACCACCTCTGCTAGTTAGGAAATTCTAAACAGAAATTTAAGGTTAAACTCAATTTAACCCTAAATATTAGGGTTCTTTACCTCCTTTTTTTTGTTGTTGTTGTTGTAATTTTTGCATCTCTAGTTTTACTTGATTTATCCTGAAGACCCCAAATAATTTGCCTTTCATTCTTTATGTTTACTTGTTTTCTTTGTATTTTTAATGGGGTTTTTTTTATATTCAAGCTAAAGACTTCCTTATGCATTCATACTAGTCTCCTAGTACACTTTCAAGTGTTCCATTAATTAAAATAATTTGATATATGCATTTATCAATACTCTTTCCAAAACTTCCAGCTCTCACAAACTCCTTTTCTGATTAAAATGTTTCCCCTCTGCCTGGCAATGTTTTGTTAATGTTTACTCTTTTTGAAGTCTATTGTTGCTGGCACTTTTTCCTATTTTCTGGACTATATCCCAAGCACTTACTGAACATTATCTGCATGGAAGATACAATTCTGTTCTTTCATCTGTGTACATGAACAAATATATATATTTAGATGTGTGTCTATACATATAAACAAGCTTTGAATCACTATACCCCTTTAAAGGGTTCCCCATTAAAAGCCAGTGACTAATACTTAAATGCCAGAAATAGAAAGTTTGAGCTTGTAGTTGCTGCCACTTATTCTTCAAAATGTAAACTAGTCTTGATTCATGGTTTTTTTTGTGGGTTTTCTTTATATCAGATAGTAAGATGCATAAACTATAGTTTTCATTCTGTGTAAAATATATCTAAGGACATTCAGTCTAGAAGAAAATGTGGTTTCCTGCCACACTGAAAGTTTGCTTCCTAGGTTAGATTGTCACTGCTCTTGATAAAAATAACGCTGGAAATTCCCCTTTGTATTATCAGTGTTCAAGCTACCAAGAAGAGTAGTAAAACTAGGGTCTAGGGAAAAGATAATCAAGAAAGGCAGTATTTTAACAAGACAAGGGAAACTGGCTGACTTAGGAGTCGTCTTTTCCTGTTCTTCCAATAATATTGCCAAAATAATAAAGCCAATGGTACATGATTTGGATACCTAAATGCTAGAATAAAAATGATGTAAATATAATGAAAATCTATCTATCTATCAATCTTAAGATTGACCCAAATTCCTTAAATTATTAGGAATTAATCCCACTGGGTTTTGTATTCAGGTTTCTAGTGAATCATTGATTATATTTGTCCTGTAAGAGCACAGTCCTCCAATATTACTGTTAACATTTTGAAGCAGAGTAAGAACAGGAGTGTAGGTGCATTACAATCCATGGGGCCTGGTGTTCATACTCCTGTTTGTAAGATTTGGGTTTAAGTTGTTAGAGCACTGATTTGGGGAACATTTACCTTTCTGCAAACATGACATGCAGAAAGTGATTATATTTTCAAGGGAATCCTGTAGGAAATTTGAAGAAAGACCTCTTGCTACTTCAAGGAATAGCCTGAAACTATTTGTTTAAGTAAATAATTGCTCGAAAATATGTATTAAGAAAGTTCATACCATGGTTTGTAATACAGTTAGTCAATATTTATGACTATTTTTGTGTTATATGCACAATGATGGTGAAGAAACAGAAGGTTTATTTATGTGCCTTCACAAAAGTAATATGCTTGATTTTGCATTTCATCCTTTATACAGTTATTATTGTTCAATATGAGCTAACTACAGTTAGGTATGTAAATGAGTGAGCATAACGGCTACAGCTTGCTCTGATCATTTGATCTAATTATGTATTGTGCTCATTCCAGGTTGTAAAAGTTGTAAAATGTACTTTACTGATTGCTCAGGTATCTTGCAGTCTTTTAAAAGTTAGTAAATTGCACTTTTTAAACAAAGTTTTACATTCTTCGCTGTGCAACTGGAGGAGAGAACATGAAGATTGTTATTTTCATGCTGTCAGAAAATGTTCCAGGGCTCTCCATGTGCAGCACCAGTACAAACCCATACCATGAGCCTTGCTGTGTCTTGAAATTGTAAGAACAGTGTGTTCCATGTCTACTGGAAAGCATCAATGCCCAAGAGCAGGGGAAAAGTGTTCGTGAAAGAAGGTGTCTAATCTTACTGCCTTTCATTGTGTTTAATCTAGTTATGCCACGTTTTGCTGAACAAGTCGAGGTTGCCATTGAAGCTCTGAGTGCAAATGTCCCACAGCCATTTGAAGAGAATGAATTTATTGATGCCTCCCGCTTGGTTTATGATGGAGTTCGTGACATCAGGAAAGCTGTTCTGATGATAAGGGTATGTAAAGCACCTGGGAAATAAAAGTTGGGACTTACAGGAAAGTATCATGTTGGATGAGAGGAATATAAAAGCTTCTCGGAATCAGCTTTGGTTTGTAATAAGCCAGAAAAGCTTGACATTGAAACAAGGGTGAAAGAGAAGTATGTGCAGCAAACAAGAATTAGTAAATAAAGAGATGAAGTTGTTATAGTGGATGAACCACAATTAATATGTTAATCACCACAGAGAAGATTTGATCACATCTGCCAATAGATACAAACTTCATTACTGTTTCCATAGTGATAGCATTAATTTCCTAAGGTCTTCAAAGTTTGTGTAGATTTTTGTGGTTTTGTTCATTTGTGTTTTTCCTAAAGTATGTTCTGCCCAGGGTGTGAGGTAAGTCTGGTTAAAACCTAAATGAATAAATAAATTATCTTGCTGCTCCAGTGAGCCTCTACAGGGATGGTTTTGAATGTTTACTGAGGTAAAAAATGTGCCATTTCAGTGTTGACTAACCAGTTGATTCTATTTGCTTAGACATCATTTAATAAAACAAACAAATAAATAAAAGAATCCACAGAACAACATAATAATTGTGAGAGTAGGTGTGTGTCTTGCTTTTCAGTGTAGGCTACAGTCAAAATTGTGAAAAGATAAACAGAAAAGCAAACCTGGTTTGGACATCTCTCCCGCAGTTGAAACTGTTATTTGAAACCCAAATTACCTTGAATCTGTCCTAATAAAAGCAATGTACAGAGAAAATCGCAGAGGAAACTTATCAAAAAACAACAGAGCTAAAACACCAACTCATCCCTTTGAGCAAACAGGTAACATACACTTCTGGGTTTGACTATATTATGGCACTAATGTAAGACTTCAGGCAGTTGGAGCACTCCAAAATAGCTCCATTTTTGTCATCTGTCACTATGTATTAACATATACAGAAAATGCTTTTGGCAGGCTTAATTTTGTAACTGCAAAACATAAATTCCTTTCTCATACCCAGTGCTCATCTCAGGTAGCCTGAATTATAGTCATGACTGATGATGGGGGCAAACCTGTCCTGTTTTCTGGGTGAGCAGCATTAGAGTATGGGCAGCTCTTCAGGACTAGGATGGAAACCTTAAATTACTTTACTGTGAGGGAGGTGAAACAGTGGCATACATTGCCCAGAGATGCTGTGGCTGCCCCATCCCTGGAAGTGTTCAAGGCAAGGTTGGATGGGGATTGGAGCAACCTGTTCTGGTGGAAGGTGTCCCTGCTCATGACATAGAGGTTGGAACTTGATGATATTTAAGGTCCCTTCCAACCCAAACCATTCTGTGATTCTATGAAATGAAAGATCTGCGTAGTAAAAGGTCTCCATTTTCCCTTTGATTATCCAATTCCTTAGTCTATAACAGCAGTTTTCAGACTCCTCTAAGACAAGAACCGCTTCTTAGTATATTTTAATCTCTCCTAGTCATTTTAAATTGCTTCATGAGACACAAACATCAGGTGGGAAATGCTATACACCCACACTTTCCCATCCCCTACGCAGAGTTCTGACTTCCAACCTCCTGTACATCAGAGTTGTCCTTAAGAGGTTGTCATGAGGCTGTCCATCCTGCTGAGATGTTTCTGCTAAGCATAAAGCACAATTTTAAATTCTGGAGGCACATTCACTTATTTCATTGCTGCCTTACTCTTGCATTTCCTAGCTTGGAAAGCTGATCAGCATTCAGGCTTCACAGTCTTCTTAGAAAAATCCCAAGTTACTTTTGCAATTGTATCACTACTACTTTCTGCTCATTGTATGATATGAGTTAATGAATTCTGCTTCCCCAGATTAGGAAGATTTATTTTTTCATTCAGACAATTAACTTATTTATGGAGCTAAATGTAGTACTCCTTACCCAGGCAGAGAACTAAAGCACATAAATGGACTCATTATCCTTGTGAGTTAACTGGAAAAATCCACATGTATAAGCTTACATAGACCAGATTTTGCTGAATCAGAACCTTATTTTCTGTAGAAAACAAAATTAGTTTCACTTTGAGATACTCTTTAACATTCCCATCTGAGCATCTCACACTGAAATGGAATGTATAATTAAAGGGTGAGGCATTAAGCTATACAAGATAGTCTTTAGAATATTTTTATCTAATAGTCTATCAAATCTCATGCCCCCCTTTAATTCAGGCTGTAAAATTTCTTGCAGAATTAAAAAAAAAAAAAGATTAAAAAACCCCAACCTTGCAAACTTTTTAGAGCATTTCAGAAAATTATTTTTAGGCAGTGATTGTTCATGTGAAAGCCACGAAAGATTGAATTTATCTGAGATGATTCCCTCATAACATAGAGTAAATAAAGCCACTTTTTAAATTAATTTTTGTTGGCATTATTACTTTGAGTAAGCTGAAGGGAAGTGGAATAAACTCTGTTCTTCTCTTTTCCCTTCAAAAGGGGAAAATTTATTGTCCCTCTGGAGGAGAAAGAAGACTCATTTTTTCATAGAGGACTATTATTATGATCTATATAGAAGAAAAAATCTCTTCCACAACTTAAGAAGTAGTATAAATTAATTTAAGAGTATAATTATAGAACCTAAAAATAGAATAGAAAATAATAGCTTCATTCCAACATCATTTCTAATATTGTATAGGGATGAAATTACACTTTGTTTTTTCATAGCTGCTTATGAAATTCCCTTAGTTATTAGCCAGAAACCCTCTCTCCAGTTAGGAGGAATCACAGTGGCACCTTTTTTCATTCCTATGTATCTCGAAGGCCAGTCTTCTCTTGCCTTTGCTGTTGGCAACCTCACCTTTAGTGGCATGTACATTAACCTCAGTGTTACATTTGTTTGGATCAGAAGTGCACTTTTGGAGCCAATCTCTGGCTGTTCCCTCTTGCTATGTCTTAGTTCATGTTACAGAGTTGTCTTAGAGCACATAAGCTTGATTCTTTGGGGCAATCCTGTAAGATGCACTCTGGGAGCATCTTAGGAGCCGAGAGAACAGCATGAAGTTGTGTCAGGGGAGGTTTAGGTTGGATATTAGGGAAAGGTTCTTCATCCAGAGGGTGGTTGGGCACTCAACGGTCTCTCCAGGTAAGTGGTCACAGCACCAAGCCTGACAGAGTTCAGGAAGCATTTGGACAACAATCTCAGGCACATGGTGTGATTCTTGAGGTGTCCTGTGCAGGGCCAGGAGCTGGGCTTTGATGATCCTTGTGTATCCCTTCCAACTCCAGGATATTCTGTATTCTGTTCTATGATTCACTTCATTTCTGTTCTATTCTATTCTATTAACTTCATTTCTATTCTATTCTATTCTATTCTATTCTATTCTATTCTATTCTATTCTATCATTAAGATCTTTCAGTCCCTAGAGAAGACTACAGTGAGTCTGAAAATTAAGTAAGGGGATTGTGGGGTACTTATCCCCAACCAGCTGGGTGTATTAATGCTCTTCTACTCTTCCACACTTGTCAAAGTAGTTTAGCCATTATCACCTGTGGGATAGCCACTGTGGTGAAATCCAAAGTGCTGCAATATTTCAGGTCCTCTGGAAAATTAGATTTGGTGCAGAAACCCATCATCTTTTGAAACAGTCCAAAGCATGTTATGGTGTTCATTGTCTACATTGACTACCTGCTGCTTCTCAGATTGAATTTGAAGTGCTAGATTTTACTGTAAATCATTAAACAAGTGAAGACCTGCTGTGAGAGAGGTTCTCTGACTTAGACACTTTGGTGCTGCTTGCCCCTGACTCAGGCTGCAACTGCCTTTGTACAAAAACAAATGCACAGAATATCATGGAGTTGGATGTAAAAGCATATTATAAATTCTACTTTTTTTTCTCCTTATCTTTTAGAATTAAAGGGCATTTTCATGGTAAAAAAATGGGGGAGTATCTTTTAATCTTTTCAGTCTTTCTTCTCATTACAAGGTTAGTTTGACTTGGTGTTCACATTGCTGAGATTCTTATAATTGCATTTTACAATTTTTAAGTGCATGCAGCACTATAGCATAGTAGGGTTTCTGTCTTCATCAAATATATTTCAGTTGGTGAAATATGAAACAAATAGCTTTGATAAATCTGCATATATATGCCATTTTATGATTTATACTTGTAAAATTCATTTTTTTGTACTGCTGTTACAAAAGATTTTATACTGCTGTTACAAAAATACAAAAAATTATATTGATGGAAGATATTTTGTTTACAGTAAGCTTTTCACTGTAACAGTCAGAGAGAGATTTTAACAAATAAAAATATTACAATGACTGGAAGCCGAAAGTCACTACATTCATATTAGAAATAAAGCATGCATCTTAAAAGAAAATTATACATTTACTGGGTAATTTTTCTGGAATTGTGAAAGATTCTTTGCTGGGAGAATTCATCTGAGTTAGATAAATGAAAGATGTGCTCTATATGTAGTGAGAGATACTGTATTTGTTAAAAACAGTCCTGGGAAATCTTAAGGCCTGTGCCACAGAACAGACAGACTAAAAATTATGAAAATAGTCCATTTTGCTGCTGAAATCGATCAGTTCATAAAATCTAGTAGTTTGAAAACTGATCTACATTCTCCTGCCAATCGTGGTTGTCTGTTTAGTTTGGAAGCTGTCTCCAATTGCAAATCCATGTTTCCTACGTTTGTATGACCGTAAGTCCAGGTATCTGCAAGACAAATTCAGTCCTTCTGTCTTCCAACTCAGAAAGATTAAGTTTCAGACTTGGTTGTCTTGGAAACTAGGTTTTAAATACTGAGCTCCTGTTAGATGTGCACAAAAATTAGAGTAGTTATGGTATGTTTGGAAGGCCCTGCTAAAAGTCTTTGAGTCAAGGAACTTCAGTAATATTTCTCTTTGGACCTTTGTGTCTAAACAAAAGAGAGACCCTACTTTATATGGACTGCATTTCCAAAGATCAGTCTTGCCAGGGTGCAAGGGTGAAAAGCATGAACATATTTGAAATGGCAGCATAAGATACAAGTTATCTCCAGTTCTTCACCTAAATGAAAAAGGTAGCTATTTGGGGAAGAAAATGAACATGTTAATTCATCACACTTGAAAAACTAAAGAGAGTGAATCTGAAAAATCATTTTCAACTAGATCTCACTTGTACAGAGGGGGCACAGAGAGGAGTCTTGTGCTTGTAGTATATTACTGACAGTTGCATTACTTGTCCTTCTGGTTTGCACTACATTTTCTCTAAGTTCAACATCTATACCCATTACGTTCATCTTCTAAAGGCCAAAAATTGTAAGATTATGATTGTCAGACAGTAACAGCAATATATTTTTTTCTGAATTTTTCTTTGAGAATAAATCCTTGAATAGAATTTTCAGAATAGTTTTTCTCTTTAGGAGGCATCCTTATGTCCTTACTGGTTGCAGCACTGAGATGTCTTTTTTTTTAAATATTACACCCTTACTTTGCTGCATGTCTGACTATGAAAGCCTAGAAAAGGGCTGCACATTATCGGTTTTAGTCTTATTTATACAAGTGGAGACAGAAGAATCTAAGAGGATTATATTTGGAGAGTGAAAAGGTACTGGTTTTACAATGACAGTGAAACTGTCTAGTTGAATGGACTTGCAGGATGGGTAGGAGCCAGCTGATTTCTGTTCCTGTTTTTCGCAGAAAAGCCATGGCAGATTAAAAGTTGAGCCCTATGATAGGAAATCCTCTCTTTGCTTAGGGAGTTGTATGATTCTCTTAGTAACTTGTTTGTTTATGACAGATTTTAAGGTCACATCTTGCCCCCAGGCAGCTGAGCAGAGAGAATAAAGTGATTAAAGGCAGTTGGAAAACCAAACCATTATAATGATGCCTACCAATCTTTGTCTTTTCTGTGACAGTAGAGAAAAGTTAAATTCATTTCTCATCTCAACTTCTTCTCCTATGGTGTTATACACACTCTTTGTACATGCATCTCTTCAGAGATGCAGCCTGAGTTTCATTACCATACTGTCATACTTGGTTATTTCTTCCTCCAGTGCTCAGCATCAAAACACGTATTTAATTCATACTCTTCAAGCCAAAAGAAGATGGCTGTGTTTTACTCTCCCCATCATGTGTACTTCACCATGCAGCTAGCAAAGCAGCTGATTTTCCATTACAAACAGTGATGTGCACTTCATGTTGGAAACCAGGCTGGAATATAAATGTCGCCAAAAGACTTCTCTACATTATGTTAGAGGGTTTGGACCAGTTCCTAGTGACTGAGCATCTTCAAGACAGAGCTGTAATGACAACTGGCGATGATTAGCACCTCTGCTAGAAAACTTGACGTTTCCTCCAAGCATGAAATGCCAGCATGGATGATTTCCTCTGTAATGGTTAGCCCTCTAGGTTGACACTGGGGCATATGAGTATCCAGTACAGTGAGGATTTCTCTGCACAGTTACTGTGATCTTTTTATATTACCATTATGGTGTATTGTACCTACAGAACTTATTCATGACCAGACTGTTGTACTCAATGCTATTCAATCATAAAATAGAATATAATGCTCTTTCTAAAGACTATTTCTAGAGTTTTTGCACCATCTCTATTAAATATGGTACTAAATAGTGATTTTAAGTAGACTATCTCTCTGTATATACATAATGATTTTTTTTTCTCTTCATGTTTTATTAGAAGGTGCAAAAAATAAATAAACAGATCCATCAGTTGCCTTTTTCCCTCCCTCCAGCATTTTAAATAACCTGAAGCCTGCATAAATGTAACTAGTTTTGATCAATCTGCTTAGAGACCCTCACACCATTCATAGCACCAATAATGGAGACAATATGGTTTCAGTTTAGAGGTTGAGGCAATTGGCCAAAGCACTGTATCTGAAAAGAACCATGTGAGCTAACAAGATAACACAGATTATAAACTTTACATTTGCTTCAAAACTGATTGACATAATTTACAATTTTTCAATAGGAAATCTCTAATTTGCTTTGAAAACCTTTTGTTCCAGGATGTTACTTGCCTTTTCCCAGGTATTTACTGTCTCTTTTGAAGATTACTTGTAGCTTCCAGTAATTTAACAGTATTAGTGTCCATTTATATATGAAATAACATTATTTTGAAATGCTATGTTCCGGTTGTTAGTGTTTCTAAAGGATATTTGTTCCTGGAAGTGCATTCTTCATGTTAACAGAGTTAAGAGAAATCTCAGTAAGAAAAGCTGTGGCAAGGTAATGACAAATGCCATTTATAAAGAAAACTAGAGTTGAAACAACTTGTTTTTTAAGACAATTCAATTTTAGTTCTTGACTGCTTGGGCAGACAAGTTAATTTAAAAGGAAAATGGAACAACATTTCCTGGGCAAGTAGTCAGTGAAATAAAACTTACTGTGCATACGATTTTGTCTATATCCTTTTTAAGCTTATCATCTTCTCTCTTTGAATTTCTCTCCCTGTCTCTCTCCCTCTCTAGACCCCCGAAGAGCTAGAGGATGATTCAGACTTCGAACAGGAAGACTATGACGTTCGCAGCCGAACAAGTGTACAGACTGAAGATGACCAGCTTATTGCTGGCCAGAGTGCAAGAGTGAGTATAAACCCCACATAACTCCATTAAGTGCCTGTATAGCAAAGGCAAAGTCAGTGATTTCCAATATTCAGGGTCGTTTAAGAAAGGATGGGACCAAGCTGACCTAGGTGTTGAAAGTTTTTCATGTCACACGTATTTGAGTAGCACTGACTTTATTGAATGATCTTCCTTAGGCTTTTGTGATCCTTTTGTCAGCTGTTTGCTCCAGCTACTGCTGTAAGAGAAGACTTTGCAGGTTTGTAATGTGCTGAAACTGTGGGAGTAGTCAGCAAATTAAAAAAAAAAATCCCATCAGGGCACCATGTGCTGTATACAGAGAAATCTTACATTAGTCATGTTTCCCAGTGTGCAAACCTGTCAAGAAGATCTGTTTAAGCTACCAAGTAGTCCCTGTAATTTAATTGTAATTGAAGACATTTGCTACTGAGTCAATGTAATTTTACCAGGGTAATTGCATCATGATAAACTCCAGTCATTGTGATTTGTGACCTTAGCTTGTGCATGGGGATTGCAAATTAAGCTGATGAGTGCTTCAGGGGTCACAGGTGCTGGGGAAGTGAAGTTTGTTAACACTCAGGAATATTCCTGTTAACACTCAGGATTATGCCACCCTCTGATGAATGTTTACTTTTTACTGAATAGGCTGCTTAGCTCAGATTATTAAAATAAAAATTAGAATATAATTTGGGGGCAAAATGAACATGACAGTATATTTGACTGGAAAGAGAGTTTTAAAAAGAACCTTAAACATTTTCCAGCAGAGAAACAATGGAGAACTGGCAATTACATGAATTATTTTCGTGGCTGTTTTGCACGTTTGTGGTTTTTTTCTGATATGTTAGAAGTGAAGTAATGTACTAAACAAGAAACATCCTACACACACACACTCATACACTAACAAAAGCTGGTAACTGGAGTGGGGATTTCTGATCCTGGATTCTGGAAGAGGATTTATAGGGCTGAGAACCTAAAGAGCAAAAGGCAACAACTCAGAGGACTTGGACAGAGGAGTTTTCAGCTGCCAGAGGAAGACCCCCAGTAGGCTGGGACTTGACACAAAGTTTTTACACCCTGAAAGAAACAGTAGGGTAACAAAAATCTAAGAGAAACTTACTTAGAGGTATGGGAGAAATGTGAAACATGGATCCGGTGGAATGGGCAGAGGTTTCTTTTTGTCTTAAATTCATTTCCCGGAATATTGAAAATAGATGACAAATGAACCATACCTTGTATCGCAAAAGATGGGTTTCTATCTCTGCATCCCAAGTTTTGTCCTTACACATCAAGGACATAACATTTATATTCATTATCATCTACATAAAGAGAGACAGATTGTAGGTCCCATCCCAGAGAGCTGGGTGACCATGAACTGATGTGGAAAACCATGTGGTCTGGAGAATTGCAGAATGGTACATGGGTACCTTACTCTGAAAATGATGACAGAACTGTGTTCTGGGTGCAGTTGACTATTGTTGGGTGATTTTTCTTTGGTTTAAAGATCATAAAGACCTGTTTGATGTATTCAGAGAATTGACTACCGAAGTCTCAGGTACAACAAAATTGAGATACAGTACAGAGCATTTTGTCAAATTTCACAGTCTTTTTCATTATTGTTTTTGTTACATTTAGGACTGGGTAACCTGTCATCATTTCTTAAAGAAAACCAAGTAAAGGCTGCAGTAATTTTGTACTAAGAATTGAGTTCACCTAGGGACTTAGGAGTCTTAAATTCTTTTACATTTATTGCAGTTATTATTACTGCTGCACTTAAAACCTTCTGCTTTGATTAGCTGCACACTGTATAAACATAATATATTATAAAGACAGTTCCTGAATAGCATAGATTGGAATATGTCACAGGAAGCAACAAAAGATGAAAACCTAAAAGGAAAACATGCTCAGCAGAAGCTGCCCAGTTCCCAGTCTGGAGTGACTCATTGCAATGAGTCTGCTAAGCAGAATAGGATCTTACTTGAACCTTTTCTGTAGAAAAGATTAGAAATATTTTTATTTGTGGAATGTAATGGATTTGTTTAATATGCTTACTCCATAAAGCTGTTAGTATTTCAGCAGAAAGACTTGTGTTGGTCTTCAGTAGAAATAAAACTGGAATATATGAGCTGCATTTGCTGTAGGATATAGCTTCCTTGAAAGCACATCAGCAGCTGGAATAGAAATACTAAAACGCTGTATAACAGTTTAAAGGGTGTGCAGGTGAAGCTGCCACTGAAAGAAACCACAGGCAAGACATACAGATTGACTTCCCAAATTTTACTACTCCTGTGACAGTCTCTTAACTTTACAGTTAATTCATCAGTTCTAGCACTTTTGTGTGTATTTCATATGTTTATTTATTAGCTTGACTTACACTGCATTTTTGTGTGGAAAGACTATTATGCTAACATTTTAAACTGCTGAGTTACATTGATAAGGCCTAATTAAAACTCGTGTTGAATTTTAATTTGATTAACTTGCAAATTTCTCATTTTCTGATCTACTGTTTATAACCCTTTTTAATTTCAGTTTTGGAAAAGGTCAATTATGAATTTTTAAAAGCCAGGAGCATTTTAAGAATATGTAGGAAAAGGCTTCAGCTGATTGAAAGTGACATAAACAAGAAAAAAATGTAATGACACTTAAGTATGTCACACCCCATTAAATGCATAATGTGGTCTTCAGAACCCCTAAAGCCAAATAGTAGCTCAACTTGAAATCATTTTTGGAAGTGTCCATTTGATTTTCAAAAGTAATTATTATAAATTTTTAGGGTTTTCTTATTTTGGAGGGGGCAGGGAACTTTCTGCTTTGTTGATCTTGAGGCATATTAGCACCGATATGTGTAGTGCCTTTTTGCATATCTTCCAAGAGACAATTAGAACACTAAATATCATTAAAAGATGTTACAATTAACTTCAAATGTATTATCTTGTGTGTCATAGCTTATTTTAGTCTTGAGTTAATCAGAAAACCTCTAGTTCAAACAGAGTATGCAACTAGGGAAGGCACTGGCAATTCAGTCTGCCTTTTCCAATTAATGTCATTCATTTTGTTCTTCCTAAAAGTTAAGATTTAATAGGAATTTAATCCTCTTGTATCAGCTGGTGAATAATCTATATGTCATGATATCATAAATGTAATTGTTAGCATCTTGAAAGTGTAAAAAGAGCTATAAATATGCTGTGAATTTGGTTTTGTCTGTCCTAAGAGAATTCAAATGCCTACTGGGTTTTGCTTAGTATCTTCAACTCCCATAAAAAGAAACTCAAGCTGGGCATGCCATTTGGACTGCTGAAAATGTCTGGTTTCTAGCTTCCTTTTTTCATGCCCAACTTCTGTTTTTTCTCCAGGCTATTATGGCTCAACTTCCCCAGGAGGAGAAAGCTAAGATTGCTGAGCAGGTAGAGATATTCCACCAAGAAAAGAGCAAACTGGATGCAGAAGTGGCCAAGTGGGATGACAGTGGCAATGACATCATTGTGTTGGCAAAGCAGATGTGCATGATTATGATGGAAATGACAGACTTCACTAGGTAAGAACAAAATAGCCTGTGCTGAGGAGCTCAGATATGCTACGTCTTTGCTTTTTTATTCAATTTGTTGCCTATTGAGATGATTTGCTGTGTTTTCGGGGATGCAAAGTCAACTGATACACGTCATACATAGAGGATACAATTACTCTGGATATTTCTCCAAATGGGATTAATCACATGAAAATTTTTTTGTGAATCTCTTTTATTTGCAGATCATCTTGAACTTCAGCAGCAAAGTTAGTCTGTGACCTTACCAATACTCCACTGACATTTCGTTTAGTACCCATCTAAATGCATGTGCCTCTCTGAACTTTCAACATTTCAGTACAATTTGTGTCAATCAAAAATAATGGCAAAACTATTTATATCATTTTGATCATTGAACTTCTTTCCAAAAAATCCCAAATGAAATGACACTGTTTTGATCTAGTACTTTCTGGGAGCCTGTCAGTAATGATTTCTTCGTTGCTTTCATTTCTTTTCTCTATTAATGTCTTGTTCTTCTCTAATTGCAAAGCATCAAAAGGCCATTCATTAATGATGTACTGTAAACAGAATTATTTTGTTTAACTATAGTCATATTGTTAATCACACCAGGGAGAACATTTTGCAAGATTCTTTGAATTACACATCCCCATCATAAATTAAATTTTGTTCGGTGTTTATTTTGAATGGGAGTTCAAAAGTTTAAATGATATTTATCAAAATGTGATTACACAAAACTGGACAAAAGTCTTCATGTTTTTCTTCTGAAATAAAATCAGACGTCCCTTTATTCATCTCTCCATGTTGCCCAGAGAAGCTGTGGCTGCCCCACACCTGGAAGTGTTCCAGACAAGGTTGGATGGGGCTTGAAGGAACCTGAGCTAGTGGAAGGTTTCTCTACCCATGGTAGGGGTTGAAATGAGATGATCTTTAAGGTCCTTTCCAACCCAAACCAGTCAGTGATTCTATGACTCCAACTGATCACATGCCTTGTGTCTGGAGACTTCAAATCATGTCAGAGGAGATACAGGGTTCACACATACCAGGTAGATAGACAGATAGAGAGATAAGAGCTGTGTATAAATACCATTAATTTTCAAATGACTGTGTATTTGCATAGTTAGTTAATTGGTAATAGGCATCAGCAAACATTTTTGTCTCTTTTAAATTTAATTATGTATATAGAAAGTTTGCTTACTTTGATAGATTACTGCTATACTTGTTCCAAGCTATTGTTCTCTCCACTTGTTTGTATTTCTCTCAGTTTTCACCTTTACAAGTATTTTTTTTCAGTAGATTCATCACTCGTGAATATCAAACTGCAGGGTAGAACCTCCTGTGAAGGATGATATTTTAAAGGATTCTGAATTACTTTTGTACTTGTATTGTCTTTGGGTCTCTGATCTTTCTGCCCAAAAAACAGAGTGAAAAACTGCCCAAACAGTGTCATCATTTCATGGAAGGAAGAAATAATGTTCTAAACCCAGAATATGAACATTTCTGCACCCTCCTGGACAACCTTTGATACACTGAACATGAAATTGAAAGTTGTGTAATTACATTTTCTAGAATCAAAAGAACAGAACTAATATGAGAATGAGAGAAAACTACTGTCACATATGAAGTAAATAAAAAAAGTATCAAAGTGCACCTCAGTCTGCATCAGATTCAATAACAACTTATTTAATATATTCCATTAAAACAGAACAAAGCCTTTCACACCTTTTTGGTTGACTGTAACTTCAGCAGTGTTAAAATAGAATAATTTTTCAAATGCCTGGAGTTTGTGACAATAAGATCTGCTCATGTAATTAATGTAGAAGTATAGAAGGTCACCAAGAAGGATTTTTGCTGCAGTTTGAGTTCACCAGAAGTGGAATACTTGTATTTCATGATCTCTTTAAGGTGGAAGTGAAAGCATAGAAAGAAGATTAAAATGGAAATATGTTTTGACATGTTATACTTGGCATTATAGATGAAAATAAAAGCAAAAATAATGCAATATTGTGCTTAGAAAAATTGCCTTCTGTTTCATCTTGAAAAAAACGTTTTATCATATTATGATTTTCCATATTTAAAAAAAATGAAAAATGAACTCACTTCCAACTGAGCCATTCTCAGGAGCAGCAGCAATTTTATTAGTACAAACACGATGGAAGTTTTGAGTCTGAAGCAAACGACTTTTTACTTTTTGTCCTAATATATATTGGTAACTTTAATGTATAAAATCAGAGTTTTGTGCACCATCTTCAAAATATAGTGAAAGATCAGTCTTAAATCTAATTATACATGTTTTAAGTGTAACATTTGGTTATGCTTTGTGTATCTTTATTTTCCAACAAAAAATCTACTAAAAAAGGTGTTCTAAAATGTGAAATTCTTGTCCTAGACATGACAGGCTTAACATTTAGCACTGGCCTGGGAATCACATCATTTTTAAATAGTTGTGTATTCCAGAAAGAACATTGGCTTAATGAGCACTTAAAAATGCATATACTTTTAAGTACAGCTCATGTGCTTGAAGGCACCATCAGACTAAATCGCTAGTGAGGCATTTTGTAAGGGAGAGGAAATACAGCAGACCAATTTCTTAATCAAGCTATACTAAAAAGTATTTAAAAGGTGAAATTATAATAAATTAAGAAGCCATCCTTGTTACTATTTTAAAATTATGCACTGAACATGGTCACTAAAACTGTTGCCTTTCATGATTTATTTAGATCATGCATAATTGTCTTGTATTTCACAGAGGGAAAGGCCCCCTGAAGAATACATCAGATGTCATTAATGCAGCCAAGAAGATTGCAGAGGCAGGATCAAGGATGGACAAATTGGCACGGGCGGTAGCTGATCAGGTAACCACAAAAATGAGCAGAAATATAATGTGATCTCTATTGATGAGTTGCCTTTTGCAGGAAAAGGTTATCTTTACTTGGCAGAAAATTACCTGCTGGAAGTTTTGCAGTACAGGAAAGTCATAAACAAGTCTCTCAAAAGCTCAAAAATACCTGACTTGTTCTGCAGTCTTACTTCTGGGCCCAGGTGTTAGGTTAGAATTAGACTGATAAGACTCATTTATGTTGGAGAAGACCTCTAAGATTATCGAGTCCAAAATATATTTGTTGCTAAAAAGTCAGTAGACACTTGGGTGTTCTGTTACCCTTGCCACATGCCTAGGAGCCATATTCTTTTCAGCTCATTCTTCTAGTAATTTCCCTTGATATAGCACTTCTTTGAGGTTCCCTGCCTCCCTATCAAGGTATTTTGCTTTCACCTTACAGCCCTCTGGTTCATGTTCAATGGTCTGTGTCCTCACTCCTATTACCAAATTCATGTCACAACTGGAAAGATAAACTTGCTGTATATACTTTTTCAGATTGGACTATCTATCCATCTAGAGAGCAAAAGTCATCATATTCAAAGTCAAAATCCAAATTTCAAATCCAGGTCCTAGGCAGCTAATTTTAGATTCAGGCAAATTAAATTTGACTATTTTTTCCCTTATAAAATTCCTATAGTTTCTTTCCTTTCATTGTCATCAAGAGAAAATTTGCTGTAAGTGGGAACTGGTAGCTTCCTTGTTTCTAGTCTTTGTCTTCAAAATAAGCATGTCTTTTCCTTCTTCAAGTTAGAATGTAATAGTGTGTAACACGTCCTGCCACAAAATATGAGCCAGAGTGGCAAGAAACCTAAAGTTTCTAATTTACCTATAACCTCCAAAATTTTGGGTTTAGGTTTTCTTCATTATCAGCAAACATTTTTTCCTGGAGTTAACCCATTCCAATCCTTTGAATGTAGCATCTGTTCATTTTAGCACAGGAAAGAAGAAATCCGTCAGCTGATGAAATTCCTAGTCTGCAGTATTTGCAGAGGTGGAATATTTTGAAGAAAGAAACACAGAGAGACTCGTTATGCATTGGCTTGAATCACGTTTTAAAAATCTGAAGACTGTAGCACCTTAATAATAAACAGTGAAATCACTTTGAGAATGAAACATTTGTCTTAATGCTTGCACTTTAATGACATTTCACAGAACTTTGGAAATCCTCGTGCAATATAGACTTTTTGTGGACAGTTGCAATTTTAATTATTTTTCCAATGAAGGAGTTCTTATATTTTTCCCTTCAAGGTGCTTATGTTTAAAGCCTTGACAGCTCTCTAGAAGTCTTGCTTTAAAGTTCATTTCTTTCAGTTCGTAGACTTCAAGAATAGGGTAAATATTTCTGTATTAAATCGGCACTGATGGGGAGAAGAGATCTCTTAGGGGTTCATGACTGAAAGATGTGGCAAATGTCTGCAGAAGAGAGGCTTTACAGCATTGCTGTAAGTAATGGGCAGGTTAAACCTAACAGCCACAGTGAACCTCCAGCTTTGTTTATTGTTAGTTTTAAAGGGAGAGAAAAAAGCAATGTGACTGCTTTCAGGGTTATAGACAACAATATATACAGCTACTTCACCATGAACATATTCCTTGCCAGCATTAGCTGTTGGGGCTAGAACAGTCATCTCATGTCAGAGCTGTGATGCTGTTTACTCATGTGTGTTTAATTCTATCAGTTTTTCTTGAAATGCTCCGATAATGTTTTTTAAAAATTGAGCATAAACTTTGTAAGATGCAAAAAAGGCATATTTGGAATCTTTGTTCCCCAAGCTATGAATTCAGAGAACATTGTCAGTCAGACTTTGTTGGGTAGCCCCAAAGAGTATTTATTGGAGACATGCTGTTAGCAATGGACCCTTTTAGCACTGTTTCATCAGAGTGAATTACTGAGGTCTGTTCTCTTGAGGCAAGGCTTTGAATATTAACTACCAGACTGTTGTTTATTATGCTCTTGATACTGTGGGGGATGATGCAGTTTCTATTAAGAGTCCAAGAGACTATGAATAAATTGTATTTGGGCCTTTACTAGTTATACTGATTATAAAACCCTCACAGTCTAGCACATTTGACCTAATGTAATCTGTATCAACACACATTTGAGGTGCACAGCATCCAAAATGTTGCAGGACTGTAGACAGCCTTCCCTCTAGTATAGAGAAGTATCCCTTAGACATGCAGAGGGACCAACTTAACTCACTGTGTTCTTGAGAAGGGCTGCAATACTGATGTCATCTGCTGAGAGAAGCTGCAATATGTCACTTACACTTGAGTAAATAATTTCTTTCTGACACAGATGAAGGTATTTATGCATGAACAATCAACCTGCCAGATCTGCCAGTACCAATCCCAAGCAGCCTCACCTCTGCCTCTCAACTCCTTAGGGTGTTAGTGAGAGACCTGATTTCTGGCAAGCCTGAAGCAAAGCTGTGCCCTCTGAAGGTGTGCACAAACACCAGGGAAGCTGGCAAGACCGACAAGAGCTGGCATTACAGTGGATGTAGTCAGTCAGAACTGGGTTTTTCTGGACGTTAACTGGTCCATGTTGTATCAACTTCTGCACCCAGCAGGCAGCCTGGAGTTTCAAGTTAAATTTGGTGTTTTGCCTGCTTAGTGGAGGCTTCTGTTTTGTACAAACTCTCCCCCACCAACACAGAAAGCATATGATTTTTATTGGCTTTCATTAGTGTCGGACAGATGTTTCTTCTTTTAACAGACAGATATAGTGTATCTTCAAGCTACAATTCATAAATCTTGGCTTAAATGAAAGGTAGAATTTGAGTTTTCACATTTCATCAAGTATCTCGTGTAAAGATGAAGAGAAATGGATCCACCTAATGCATACACATTACCACTATCTGATTGCCTGTCTACAATCACATAAACTCAGCTACATCTAATCAAACATTTCTTTTGTCTGTAGTGCCCAGACTCAGCCTGCAAACAGGATCTGTTGGCCTACCTGCAGCGCATTGCCCTGTACTGCCACCAGCTCAATATCTGCAGCAAAGTGAAGGCAGAAGTTCAGAACCTGGGAGGAGAACTTATTGTATCAGGGGTAAGCTGGGATTTGTATTTAGCCATTTATGTTTCCCATGTAGCACTTGAAAGGGAGCATTTTTGATTGCAATAATGTACAAAACAAAAATCCACTGATTCATGAGCAAGTTTTTTTAAAATGTTATCACCATTATTCCAGGCCTTACAACAACTTGTGTAGAGCAATTTGATTTTCCAATTACCCTTTGTTTATACTAACCTTGTAAAATCTTCATTCTTCCAAAAGAAAAGTAATTTTATAGCCTAGAAAGTCATTGCCAAGCTGTGAATATTATAATTATTTGGAGCTTTTGTATATTTGCTCATTATAAATCTTTTTCCTTTGTTAGTACTGGTAATTTCCTTCCTCTGTGCAGAAGCCAGCTCTGTATGAAGTGCATATTGTTAAGATGGTGATGACTAATGGGGTTCATTCACTCAGGTTCCAATGCACACTAGGTTTAGCAAAAAACTCTGGAAGGCCAGCAAAATATTTTAGATTTTGCTGCACGTGCTGTTTTCAAATACTATTGGCAAGCACAATGATTATATGCTCTAACGCCATTCAGTGATTACAGTTATGCTCAATGAACACTATGAACTTTTTACACACACTTTTTCTTTTTTTTAGAAATAAAGACAGGAATATGCAGCAGCAATAATATTATAAACAATGAGGTTTATACATTTTTAAGCTATTTTTTTCTCTCCAACTCCTAATGCTGGCCTTTTTGCCTCTGGGAGAATACTAGAACCAAGCAGTAGCAATTGCTGCTCTTCATGATTTTCAAAAAAGAAAATGTTGTTCTTTCACCCTAGAATTAGCCCCATGACACCTTTGTTATCCTCTAACTCAAATACACACCATATATATGTAAATGTATAATATGTTTCACTCTCCTGAGTGTGTTTTCAAAACGATGGTGATTTGTGAGACCCAAGATTCTTGAAGCAAATTGTTTTCAAAAGCAGTTTTGGAAAAGCACCCTTTCATTGTTTAAGCCCAATCAAGTACGAAGATTATTAAGACAACTAACTTGTGCCCTTCATTCCATCCATAAGATTCCCCAGTGGCATCACTGGCCTTCCTCAAACATATCAGAAGTCAGAGAAAATGTTCTCAACTACATAACATTTTTATATTTTTGCAAAGCACTATAGAAGGTCTTAAACATTTGCCAGGCTTTCTTGGATCAAACATTCTGAAGTCATACATACAATCCTAAAAGGAGCTGCTTAAAGGTTCCTGTATCTGTCCTGCAATTGGTCTTCACTTCTTGACGTATGTACGTATGTAATTTTAATACCTTGATCTTCCCACAGCAATGAAAAGATCCTCTTCCCTTTTCCTGATATTAACGGCGTGATCTGTCCTTGTATCACTGACAGCTATGCTGCATAGTAATTGCTATGATCTTTTCTTACCTACTGCCATCTGGGTCCTGCTTTTCATACCCATTGACTTGTCATATTCATCTCTCTATAACAATTACCCAAATCAGTGCTTCTACCAGCTTGGCTTTTGTGGTTGTGTGTGTTTCTTTTTCAAGTCTCTTTATTCAGTGTATGTGAATGCTGAATAAGCCATTGTGAATCTATTCGTACTGGAACATCACCATCCGTTGTGAAATTATAAGTGGCCAAACCGCTTGACTTCATCATTTCCAGTCTGGCATTGTTAGCATCCGCTGCTTACCAGGCTTCATCACCATTGTGTTTCTGTTTGGTTGGGTTTTTACAGTCAGTTGCAAAGGCAAAACTAGCTTCAACCACAGAAATTATGTGGGTCTGTTCCAAAGACTCAGTAGTACTGATGTAGAGGAAATTTGAAGATTGCCCAGCTTGCTTCTTCTGCTGGTGCTCTGAACAGGAGGTGATATAGAGTTGAACTCCTGTGCATCCCTTTTTGAGAGCATTATCTTATGATCTGACGCAGCACAGTTAGTACAGTGCTTTCCTGATAGTGTTTTCCGAGCTGTTTATCTTTGAGGTGCTGGGTACTGTATGCTCCTTTGCTATCCAGAGATCTGGTATCCAAGTGCACATCTACATCTGCTTGTCTACTTGCTGCTTCTGCTTCCATCTTCTTCTTCATTTTCTCTTGGATAGCCAATTACAAATAAACAGTATTTTATTTACTTGAAAATGAAATACCATTATTTGGCAACTTGCATACAGTACAATGTTAGACATACTATAGAAAACAAGAATTCAAGCTTCCCAACCTATGGCTATGAAAGTGAGTTTATATGATTGCATTATATTTAAGTGTTTTGGTGTAAATATCAAGCACTAGAATGGTTATTACAATATTGTAATTTACTACTGTGTTTACAAGGAACCACAATTATAATTCAGATCAATCCAAAAGATCACTTACGATTCAGAACTCTTATGGGGAGTAGAATCTCTGTTGGAATTTTTTCATTATTAAGAATATTAATCAATATTTATAAATGAAATGAATGTTTGCATATGTATGTTTGAATCTATGTGTAGGCATAAGGATTTTATATAAAGAGGAAAGAGACATAAAACCAATTAAAATCTAAAAGACAGATGAAAGCTACCCCACAGTTCTTATACTTTTGTTAGAGAAAAATATGTTGCAACAACTTCAAAAATACTGTGTACATAACATATAATGTGCTGTATATCTTTGGATGAAACTTGCTATTTCTTTTTTCACCACAAGATTCAGTAGTTCAGTGTGGTTTATCTCTGAAAATAAGCATAAAGCTGATCTTGTTTGCTTTTTCCTCTATAGATTGATATGATACTAACATAGCATATGAAGGGGTCCTTTTTGGCATCAGTGACTTTGCTGCAAATAGGAAAACAGATCAAAAAGTAAGAAAATGTCACAGTCCTGAAGTGTAAATTATTTCAGTAAAGGAAAGAACGCACTGTTGTTTTCCCTTTTTTTCTTCCGTTCCTTTTTCCCCCAGCTCTTTTTTTCTCCTTTGATCTTTCCCATCAAACTCCCTCCATGCAGATAGCAAAATTATTTTCACCCAGTAAGACCGGGCAATTGGGAGTTAGCATACATCAACCTAACCTCATTAATATCAATGGAGCAAGGCCAATTTAGGTTGTCTGTGGACTTGGCCCTTTATGTTGCAAGGTGAGATTCTTAAGTCCTTATTCTAATTGAGTTTTCAAAAGTAAAATAAGGAAAAACTATGTGGTACCTGTTCTTCAGTCAGGAGTTCTGTAAACCTGAAGAAGCTAATAGGGAAGAAAGTAAGCAGAATGATAAATAAAAGCACAAAGAAATTACTATCAAAAATTGCAAAATATTTTAAACATTTCTAATCTGTGTAGATGATACCCTTGTTCCTAATAAAATTTTCTTTGACCTTGGTCAATAAAGAGATATACGTTTTATAATTTTAAATTTGAATATTCAATTTCTAGTTTCCCTCTAAGAGTAAACAACCTCCTTTAATGAAATTACAGAGTAAAAGCACTTCAAAGTAATTTGCTTTGTCTCTTGCCTTAGTTTATTTAAAGTACTGTGTATTTGCTTCATAATCAGTTGCACTATTGTATCAAAATGAATCCTCTGAGGTGCTGAGCGTTCACCACTCTCACTGAAGTAAATCCCATTTACATATACTTAGCTCTTGCTGATAGATAGCCTTTTTGTGGTAGCTACTTTTGTTCAATAGAGTTGGTTTTAACGATGATGTTTGTTATTTGGATAAAAATTCAGACTGCTAACTCTAGGGCTGCTTTATTTTTCTAATACTCCTGTCTGCCTCTTGTTAGCAAGAGCATTACAATAAAGCAAATCTATATATTAATTTCTTACTCCAGAGTAAATATCCACTTGTTCTGTTTACTGCTGCTCAGAAACTGATCAGCTCATTTACCTACTGCCCATTTAGGCTATGAGATGGCATTTTTTTTAAATTCTTGTTTATGTTAGTAGATTTGGCACAGTCTTTCCTGTAGGATTAGACTGAGCAGAATCTAAGAAAATCCCTTATCCATGGCAGCCCCTTATCATGTTCAGGTTTGATTTAGAGCTCTATGGATATAATCAGTAGTATTAGAAAACTTACCCAAAGATTCTTAAACTTCTGAGCCAGACAGATGTGCAGTGTCATACAGAGTAACAACCATGTGCCTTTGAACACTTTCCAAAAATACTCAATCAATAGCCAGAGCACATTCCAAACATATTCTTTAGCTGGGTCCAGTTTCCAATTATTTTCCACGTCCTGTTTATCTTAACATAATAGGCTCGACTGCAATACTCAGAGGATTCTTATAATTTGTTGAAGATACAAGACAGTATAGTTAAGATTGTGAGTTTATTGAGGTGTTCTTGTCTGCTGAATTTAAGGGAGGACTTTGAGGGGGAAAAGAAGGGTGAAAGGGCTGGAGCCACCCCAGTAATTTTGGGTAGGATATTATGAAAGCGCCCTGACTGGGAGGGGAGATGCATAACAATATTAACACGTACAGGATATACTGCAAAATAAATGTATGTTTATTCATGACTAGTGATACGAGTAAGGTAGCCAGAAAGAGCTAGTCCTCATCAAAAATGAATGAATTTCATTATTTATCATAGAATAATGGTGAGCATCCAGCAGTTATTTCAGGTGAGCTAGCAAACAGTTTCCCTATCAATTCTGCCTATGGATCTTACATCTAATAAAACAAAATGGGCTAAAGGTCCTACTTTTCTTTCATTTAAGGCTGAATCACTCTAAACTACCTTGTGCTGTAAAAGCAAGTTAGTATGTGTGTGGGCAGCAAAGTATCAAATTGCTACTTATATTTCTCTAGACTCAAAGAAAAATCAGGTAACTCAAAGTTCACCTGATGTTAAAAGTGAGTAAGGCCATCTTTAAGTGAATTTGGGTTAAGAGCATGTACCTGAACAGTTACTTAAGAGCCACTGATGGGGTATTTCATTTCCCTGAAACTAAAAGCCTTTCTGGGGTCTTTCCTTTTTTGGTTTTAAAGTTGGCAATCAGAGAGAACCTTTGCATTTAAAGTGCTTAA